CAGATGGACAATCAGAGCGAGTAATACAGATTCTTGAAGACATGATGAGGTCTTGTGTCATCGACTTTGGAGGAAACTGGGAAAAATATTTACCTCTAATGGAGTTTGCATACAATAACAGTTATCAATCGAGCATTCAAATGGCACCATACGAAGCACTATATGGACGGAGGTGCAGAACTCCTGTATGCTGGACAGACTTAAGTGAGCGTAAATTGATTGGACCTGAAATAGTTCGAGACACTGAAGAGAAGGTAAAGACCATTCAAGATAAACTCAAAGCTGCATCCGATCGTCAAAAATCCTATGCTGATCTCAAACGCAAAGACATGGAGTACAAAATCGGCGAAAAAGTTTTTCTCAAAGTATCACCCTGGAAACATGTCCTACGATTTGGGAAGAAAGGAAAATTAAGCCCAAGATACATTGGTCCGTACGAAGTCATTGAACGTATTGGACCAGTGGCCTATCGTCTCGCATTACCAAACAAGCTCAACAAGATACATGACGTTTTCCATGTATCAATATTAAGAAGGTACCAAGCAGATCCCACACATATACTACAACCAGGAATGGTAACCTTGGATGAAAACTTAACTTATGAAGAAGAACCAGTTCAAATCCTTGACCGAGAAACCCGACAACTGAGAAGCAAGAAAGTACCACTTGTCAAGGTTCTTTGGAGGAATCATACCACGGAAGAAGCAACTCGGGAGACGGAAGAATCAATGCGACAACAGTACCCACATTTGTTTGATCCTATGACAGGTAAATTTCGAGGACGAAATTTCTTTAAGGGGGGGGGAGAATTGTAACATCCCAAAATAGGGCCTAAAAAAATTCATTATATGATTAGTAAACTTTAATGATTCAATTTTATAATTTAGAAATAATTTTTTTTTAAACCATTAGTTTAAAATTATTAGAATAAATTATATTGTTAGAACAAATTTTTAGAAGTACTAATTGATGTAGAATCCAATTTGATTAAAATTTGGGTAAAGTGGTTATTTGGACAACCCCGTATTTATGATATTGGTAAAACAAAAACCCATATATGTTAATAGAATTCAAGTGTTAGAAGCGGAAACAAGAGGAGGCTGTTTAATACTTCACCCGTGTTCGATTCTCACCTCAGGCCAAGTATGGAATATTTTTTTTTCTCCTTAGACAACAAACACAGTTTAAAAAAAACAGCAAGTCAGCAACCATGCGTAAAAAAATTTCAGATTTATTTCCAAACATCCTAATCAATATTTTTTTTGGGACTTTTTGAGAATCAATTTCTAAGCTATTTTGGAGTCTTTTTAGTTACTTAAACACATTAAATTACTCCATATCAACCCAAACATCATCAAATATTCTAGAATATTTTTAATGGATATTGATGACATATTTGAAGAGTTTTACACTTCTCTTGATTTTTTTT